CTCACACGGCGAAATCCGATCCGATCAACAGTGATAAGGTACTATTTTTGATTGTTTACTAAGATAGGTTTAATTGTCTGGGTAGCAAGAATATTTTTTTTCAGTTAGGCTATTCACTCATTTGTGGAGGTCTGTAGGAATTTGTTGAATTGCGGTGTTTACTTTCGATAAATGTATTCCGTTTGAGATAATCTTTTATGACAGTTATCAAGCAAGTAAAAAGAGTTTTGAAAACACTCGATATTGGTAGTTTCTCGAAAATATACTGGGGTGTTAAATGTCTGAATATTTTGCTAATCGTTTTCAGTTGATATTTTTTCAAATGTTGGTTACCAAGTTTTGACTATTAATTTGATTATCAGTAAAGGAAAAATGAATTGATTTTTTTCCTATTCTTAACCTAGTTTTACCTGACCTACCCTGGAAACGAAAGGTAAGTCCGAACGTAATAAAGAAGACGAAGAAAATTGCAGGAATTTTAACAGCGAACTACACCACGAACCTGGGAACATTCCGAACTTTTGTAAGGGTAATTATTGCAAACCGCAGGGCCAAACCTCAAACTAACCGGAAATGTAACCCCTCACGGCGCACAGTCGCGGGACTTCTGATTTGAGCAATAAATATATTGTGAAGTGCAATATTTATATTTAGCTAATTTTTCTTTGATATCCTCATCCTCATTGTTATCTCCTTGCACTGTTAGTGTTAGTCCTATAATATTTAAATGCTCTTACTCATCTTTTTTTTGTAACATTTGTGGTTGAATTTTTTAATCCAACTAAAGAGACAATACGCAGTAATTCGGTATGTTGTTAGGATTAACGTCCCTTTTTACGAGGTTAAATTTATACACCATAATCGATTAATTCAAGGGCCTTTCATAGATTTGTTTTGTGACTTGACTATTATGATTAAGCCGAAAATAAACACGTTCAAGGTATGAAATCAAACAACTCAGACAATTTGGTCATATTATTATAGTTTTCCCGGCTGTCTAGGCTAAAAATAGAAATAACGGACAAAGGATAGGTACGACCGACAAAAAGAAGTGCTTTTAATAGAAAAGGGAAGGCTCTCAGCGCAATTGCTCTGTATAGAATATATGAATATGAAATATACATAAAGCAGCTAAAGATATATATCTTCTGCAGTGTAATGTTTCAGGAATTTCGTTTATGGAAGTGTAAAGCATATTGTTCGAGAATGTTCCCAAGGCGTCTGCCAAATTACCTAATCGGCCACCAGTTTTTATATCACTTTAGGTCCGCCATTTTTCTAGTTTTCGCTTTTTATTTAAGCACATTATAGTGTTTACAGTGTTTTCATTTACTTGGGAAATTACGTTATTTTATTGCACGAAACTGTAGATGAATGAATATTGCGAAGGGTTGAGGACGACTCCGAAATTGGATTCAAATCATTATCACCATAGGTACACCAATGAAATAGTTACAGATGGAGTTTAGCGAAGGTGTTTCGTTCGCGGCTGAAAAGAAAATTTGATAAGATCAGACAACTATTTTATTAAAAGGCAAGACTGACTTCATATATGATTTTCTATTTCTTTCTTCTAACACACTTAAAGGAAAGCCATAAATAATCAACTTCAGAAATGGCTTTCAGCTTTCAGACTAGGCGATGCAGGAATAACACAATAGTACAAATATAAATCCGAAAACCCGAAAGTCGGGACTGAATGCTGGATATATGCATGCAGTTGCATTTGTGTGTTTGTTTAAACTTTAAAGATATCCTTTAATCCTTCTTATACCGTCATCCCTTTTCAGTTTTTTTATGCTTACAATATAAACCACCAGTTTAAGTTTCATTGAGTATTTTATATTATATTTCATTATTCATTATACATACTATATTTTCTTTCACACTGAGTATTTAGCACGTGTTTTGTTAACCAATGCAATTTTTTTAATTAGTAAAAATTTTTTCGTGAAACACGGCTGTTTTATTTCATCGGAACGGTGTTTTACCACAATCTCCCTCCCACAACCGTTGAGTGGGCCGATAGAGACATTTCACGTGCCGGTTTATGGTTCCCCATCCACCCCTGGATATAAGTTATTGATGTTGTGGTGAAACGTATGTAGTTGTTGTCTAATATCAACATATCTATTCCGCAGAGTAACGGGTGTGAAGTCCGGGAGTTTTATTTTATTTTGCTCTAAAAGTTGTCTATGAAAATATTGGCTAATATACCACTAATTGGGGGATCCCATCGGAAGTCCGTCCGTCATTTTGTAACACTTGTTAAAAGTGAAAAAGCCTAAGTTTGTGGTGGGTGTGAAAAGTTTGGGTAAGTTGTCTATATCAGTCGGGTCGGAGTTGTATGTTTGAAGGAGTTTTCCGAACTACCCTTATGATTTGAAACTATCGTTCTTAAATAGAATAACTAATTCAAAATGATCCACACGAAAAAATCTAAATTCCTTTTTACTTAAAATCGTACAACCTCTCCTTAATGAGAGGTTCCATTTCTTTGCTAACTTTTTCAACTCTGAATGATCCCCGCTTTTAATTACTGAATAAATGTTTTACACCCACAATGGCGAATTAACTTAAAAATGGCGATGTCCAAATTGTCTATTGGTTATTGCTGTGTTTTCAACCAATCATTAATATCAATTAAATATCCTGTAATAAAACTCCTTATCGCAACGACCAGATGTGTCTTACATTTTAACACGAAATTGCACGTTTTAAAACTAAATACACAAATCTAAATAAACAATTTAGAAACGCGATAAAATTTAAGCAAAGAAAATACGCAATTACAAATAATTCTAAAAGGAAAAAACACTGAGACTATAAATGACAATAAAATAAACCAACTTTGCGCTTATTCGTAAGTAATCCCCAGCTTTATTTAATACAACGTTCCCGACGGGCGGAGGTTCGCGGCAACTCAATCCTAAAACTATTAAATAAGCCACCAGAATAGATCAAAAAAATTTAAACGAATAACTTAATAGTGCTCGATTGATTTCTTCCTTCCAATCTAAAATGCTCGCACATTTTCTTTGATCGTATTAATCAGAACGTGACCTTTGCGACACGAGCGAACTTGCGAGCGAGTACAGCAAGCGATTCGAGCGAATAAAAATTATTTGTGTTTCATATAGGGGCGTTATACGGTTATCGTTTCCAATGTTACAGATGGATTGCTAAATCTGCGAATTTTTATGTAGAATAATGTCTCAGCCCCAATGACCACTTTAAAAAGTTCCTCTTTGCATGCTTTCAATTTTTTTTACTTGGCCTTGTCTGGAAACCTGATACGTTTAAGGAATAATGAACTTTGGTAAACAATATTTCCACACCATTTTCCTTTTCCTATTCAGGTAAAGACTTTCGCAGACGCATGTATACAGTATCACCCACATTCAAAAGACGTTAACCCATAAGTTTGGTGGCACTAAATATAAAGTTACCCAGACACGTCAACTTAGTTTCAAAGAAGTCTATTCCATTAATCTTTTTAATAATGATACCATGGGGATTGCTGAAGTAATCTAATTTCTTTTTTAAATTGACTTTTACTTTAATAAAATGTTTTCAGCAAAGCACATCCGCTCTGCCGTTTTTTATCCAGCAATTCAATTTCCACCAAAATTTAATTGAAGAATATGCGATTTTCAGTTGGCCTTTGGTAAAGTTCGCATCTTGTATTGATTGAAACGGAACATCTTTAGAATTTGAACATTTTAATTAGAAATCCCGTATACTAACTCATACTTCATGTTTTATGGTGACGCTTTTTGTTAATAACTGAAAGTTGGGGAAGTTGTAATTAATATCTGTGTAGAAGTAGACACTTGAAGTTTCAAACTTCGACTTCATTTTAATTACACTGAAGTTCGCAAAGCGCTTTAGGCGTTTGATTATAATTTTGACCCAGTGCCAAAATAAATGGATCACTCTCTTAACTAACTCATCCGTTTCGGTGAACAGGGTTCCTGTAGTTTCTAGATAATGGACGACTCAAGGGAAGTTATAATTAACTGATGTACTAGGCGTTAGTTACCACAATTTTAGAGTTATTACTGATGTTCATAGTAAATTTATTATTCGTTAGTAGGAAAAATCCTAAATGTAAAAATTAAAACCAAAGCCGTTATGAGCCTATACCTTTCCTATACATAACGCTAGCTTCAATTCTTGTCACACTCCTGGTAATGTTACAAGGGACAGCAATCTCTATTACACTATTCCTCCAACTTGTATGATGTTTTCGGCATAGTGTTACGAAAATTTCGAAGAAAAATGTTGTACATTACTGGATGAGCCATTTTTTGCAAATTGCGTAAGGGATGTCTATTTATTATTGCATCGTTATTTGAAAAATTATAAACATCCCTACTAGATTTTCCCCCGCGACTCCGTACTCTGATATTGATCGATATGTATATGATAACAGAAACCCAGCGTACAGAATGTAAAAAAATAAACATATCCGCATATACGACGCAAGTAACTTGATGGATACATCAATCGCGGTACGCGAAATAGCCGAGTGCGACATCAACGAAAAAATAAGGTAAAAAAAATTGTATACTTAATCCGATCGGCCCCAATTGTGAATCTAAACCATCCGGGGACACATAAGAAAAATGTCATTAAAATCCGTCAGCCGTTTAGGAGTTCAGTCACAAACACGTACAGAAGAATTTTATACAGGATGCCTATTATGTATGGAAAATAGTATACAGGGTGTCAATTTTAAAACTTGCAGTTGGCCATATTTTCCAAACCAAAGAAGATATTGAAAATCGCGCAAAACCGTTTCGGGGGTATCGAGGGGGAACAAGAATGACGTTATGAGTGACAACCTCCAACCGCCCTTAATCCCCCAGCCCCCCTCTTCAAAAATCGTAAATGGCAACCCCATACACATCGTTGGGGTACCAATAAAGTCAATATTCATTAAGACAATTTAACAAAACAAACTTAATAAATGTACAAAAATAACACACGATACTTACATTTGCCGCATTTGTCGAGGTGGTTGCTGATCGGATACTCTGGTGAGCAATGACATCTTCCCATTGCAGCACAAACAGACCCCCAGAATCCACAGTCATTTGTGCTGTTACAACGATCATCATACATCTTGTCCCCACGCCCCACCATATCTGAAACAAAAAAAGGCAGCCATAAAAATCTAATTCAATAAATTAGATGGGAATGCAGTTTTAAAAAAAGACACAAGGAAATCCATATCCTGGTCCTCTTCACTCTCCTTCCACCCCACGCCCCCACTTCAATTTAAGGATGTTCAAGAGACATACCTAGAAGGGCGTTTAAGGATCTGTTAAAAAGTCGCGTGGACATTCTATAAGTGTTTTAATAGTATATTAAGATACAAGTGTATAATCAAGTCTTTAAAGCACGCGCAACGAGTTTAAGGGCACGACGCAAAGCGGAGTGCCTTTAACGTTGCAAGTGCTTTAAAGACCAATTATACACGTGTATCTTATGGTATTTTTTATTATACCTGCAGTATAATTTAAAAATAGGAAATACAATGAAATCATATTGACGTTATACTCGAATACATGTTTAATTAAGTGAGCTGGGTGTTCGAAATTTCACGATTGCCATGGAAATGTCACTTGACGTTTGCTTATAAAAATCATCGTCTTTGTAAATAAAACGATTTCCGTTGAAAAAGATAATACACCGTCGATTAAATCGCTTGTTGTAAAATCTAAACAAACGTTGGTAGGTGTAAAATCCAAATCCAGTAAAGCCTATTATCAAGAATATGAAAAGTTGTTTCCATGGATGAATACGAAGTTACTTACGAATAAAGTCCTAAATGCATCGATAATGCTGGGATATATGAAGGAAATGTCAATAGGTATTTAAATCTTCTATATTTTGGTGCATTAACTCAAAACTTCAAACAAAGCTGCGATTAAAAAGTGGAACAGATTTGGAAGCATACCCTAAATTACGCGCGTTTGTGAAACCTTCAACCAAAGGATAGGTACAAGCCAAAGAAATGTTCTGCATTTACAGAAAGCGACCTAAGAGGATCTTTTATTTTAGCCCCAGATGACAGTTTCAAAAGTCATACTTGAAGTATCGTTACTTAGCAACTTTAAAGCACGTGTGTTTTAAAGGCCTTTTTTCGCACGCATTTGAGTATTTAAAACGGAGATTGTGATTCAGGTATAATAAATAGTATATTAAGATACAAGTGTATAATCAAGTCTTTAAAGCACGCGCAACGAGTTTAAGGGCACGACGCAAAGCGGAGTGCCTTTAACGTTGCAAGTGCTTTAAAGACCAATTATACACGTGTTATAGTATTTTTTATTATACCTGCAGTATAATTTAAAAATAGGAAATACAATGAAGTCATATTGACGTTATACTCGAATACATGTCTAATTAAGTGGGCTGGGTGTTCGTCATTTCACGATTGCCATGGAAATGTCACTTGACATTTGCTTATAAAAATCATCGTCTTTGGAATAAAACGATTTCCGTTGAAAAAGATAATACACCGTCCATTAAATCGATTGTTGTAAAATCTAAACTAACATTGGTAGGTGTAAAATCCAAATCCAGTAAAGCCTATTATAAAGAATATGAAAAGTTGTTTCCATGGATGAATAGGAAGTTACTTACGAATAAAGTTAAATGCATCCATAATGCTGGCATATATGAAGGAAATGTCAAAGGTATTTAAATCTTCTATATTTTGGTGCATTCATTCAAAACTTTAAAGCAATGCTGCGATTAAAAAGTGGAACAGATTTGGAAGCATACCCAAAATTACGCGCGTTTGTGAAAGCTTCAACCAAAGGATAGGTACAAAAGCCAAAGAAATGTTCTGCATTTACAGAAAGCGACTTAAGAGGATTTTTTATTTCATCCAGATGACAGTTTCAAAAGTCATCTTGAAGTATCGTTACTTAGCAACTTTAAAGCACGTGTGTTTTAAAGGCCCTTTTTCGCACGCATTTGAGTGTTTAAAACGGAGATTGTGATTCAGGTATAATAAAAAAATCATTTAAAGACATAAGAACATCTAAGGGTTTTAATATGAGGCTTTACGGATACCTATTCTAAAAGAGTTATGGGCCACTGACTTAATTTTAAAGTTTAAAGGTCTCCAAAAAGTTTTTAAACATCCCCAAAAGTTCAAGAGAGATCTTCATGTGCTCATCTCTATGAGTCTTCAGGAGACTCCAAGGGTATTCGAGAGGCACTAAGTCTCTTCACTTTTTAAATGTCAAACCTTCAAGGGCCTTTAAAAGTTTCTAAGAGTGTCGAAGTGTCTGATTGCGTAGTTACTGTAAAAAATTTTCTGTCCGGTTGTTGCGATAAGATTCGTTATTGCTGCATAGGCTAATTAAAGTTCGAGATTCTTGTTATCGCCGTTAAAAAAACACGGGTTTGATTTTTAGCAAACGCAGTACTTAAGGAACGAGAGGGGAAGTTAAGGAAAGGAAAGATTTGCTAAATAAAAGAGACAAACAAGCTTTTTTTGCCTGTTGTATTTAGCCTTTTGCTGGTCAAGCTTTTTCTTTGGTGGGCGTTATTTGCGCGAAACAGTGTGTTGAAAGACAATAATTGTCTATCGATCTGTAAATGATTAGGTTTCTGTTAATGGAGCCCGAATTACGACTTACATAAGAGTTTTCATGTTCATTTTCTTTACTTCGTACCCGGAATTCTGTGGTTTTTAAGGACCTCCCAACCTTGTCAAAAGTTTCTGTAAGAGATTGGAATTTTAAGTCTTTAAGGGCCTACTAGAGACTCTTAAGAGTATTCTGAAGGATTTAAGAATCCTTAAGTTGCTTAAGAGTCTTTGAAAATGGCAAAGAGTCTTTCAGATCTTGAAGGTCCTTTTAGAGCTTTTATGCGTACCCAAGAACCTTTGGGGGTTAAAGGTCTTTAAAAGTCGTCGCTAAAAACCATTGTCCAAGGTCGCGTCTTTGAGAAGCTTCGAGATTCCTTGATATTCTCGCCTGTTTTCAAAAATCAAACCCCCAAAAGCTTTTGTGGTCCTATGCGAGCCTTTCAGGGTTTTTACAAGAGCTTTAATACTCTTTAAAAGCATTTCCAAGAGGTATGTAATAGACGTTTTGTCTTAAGGGTCTTTTAAAAGTGTTTGAAATCCGAACTTTGGAGCTCCTTTAAATTGTTTAAAGATCTTTTATTGGCTCTGGAAGTTTTTTTAACGACTCCCTTACATTCTCGAAAAATCTCCAGCAACCTCCAGAGCTCTCTGTATGATTTAGAATGTTACGAAGCCTTTAGTACTTAAGGATCCTTAAGAAGTTCGATTGTATCGGTTTCCAAGAGCCTTAAGAACAATCTTCTGGTTTATGTTAAAGTATTTAGCAGCTTAGAGCTCTAAAAGTTCTTAAAAACAATAATAATGTTTGGGACTCTTCAAAACTATTCGGTTTCCAAGTGTCTCTAGGAGTTTCCAACAGCCTCCTTGAGCCGCTTAGGAACTTTAATAATGTTTAAAATACTGCAAAGAACCTTTTAGTATCTGTAAGAGACCTTTAGGGCTTCTTAGCCTTTTAAAATCGTTCCTATCTATCGCTTTTTTGGAGTTTCCGTTATTTTTGAAAGGGGATCAAAAAGCCGGCCACTGAAATCAGGCTCTGTGTAGTTCCGCTCCCAAGATATAAGATATATAAGATATAAGATATAAGTACTATTAGTATAAGTTATAGAATATTTCATGTAATATTTTTTTTGCGCAAGTAGTAATATGCAGAATTACAAGAGAAATTAAAAATCTAAAATCGAAAATGCCAAAGCGGTGACATTACCTTTGGTATGTTACTGGGCATACCAAGCTTCAACTTCGTACAATTCGGTTCATAAATGACGCAAAGGCCAAATGGCGTGGGTTTTTGAATTGAGTGGACTTAAACCTCGGCGTTGCATATTATACGGTAGGTACTGGCTATTCCGATCGAGATGCCAGAAAGGCACTGTTAAGGTTAAAAGATGTCAAAAGGGCCTTCCTTCGTTTTTGGCTTACAAATTTATTCATTGTCTTTTAAATCCTTGGACATGAAGCTATCGAGCGAGCGGACGGACTTAGCACCTTAGAAAATTAAAAATCGAATTTGATTTCCTCGATGCAACTTTATTAATATTTCCACAGGAGTCAAAACCTTCAAAATCAATATCAACAAAAAATTATAAGCAACCATTAAAATTTCAATATATTAAATGCTGAGAGAAATTTAAAATGACACAAAAAGTGCATCCGGTCTTGGTTGGACAAAGAAAACTGCAAAAAGAAGAGCAAGCATATGTCCGAAAATGGATGGAATAAGTCAAAAAAATTAAATGCAGCCAACTATAGTATATTAAGTAACAAGGGATTAAAAAGAGTTTTTGTTCCTGAAAGAATGGTTTAATATTTTTGAGGGAACAAAAACTAGTTTAATCCAATGTTACTTATACTATTTTTTCCAATACCGATCGATCTGAATCCATTTGAAAATTAATATGAAAAAGTAAGGTAGGCTTTTTAGGATGTCATAGTTACGCTCGCTTGTTTGTAATTTTTTTTGTTTTTAATTTTTTATTTTGGTAAAATTATGCCTCTAAACCCTTCTAAAAATATTGAAGATGAAAGTGACGAAGCATATGATGGCGCTTCTTTCATCCCCTAAGATGTCACTTGCTGATTAGTTTGTGTAAAACATTGCATGCTCATGCTTCCAAAATTTGTGGTTGTAGATTGTGACAATTATTTTTTTTATTTTATTTTATTTTATAATACCTCTCTTGTTTTGGGCCCTCAACAGGCATGCGCCCAATTACAGAGTGACCCGCATAATGCTATTTAGAGGTGCCTCTGCAGAAGGTCTTAAGTTGGTCTATACTACTCCGGTATTTACCTTACGAATTAGGAAAACTGCAGGAAAACCTAATTCAGAGTAGCCGGTAGAATGCTCGGAACTGGCCTAAGGTAATTTCCATCTCCGCCACAGATGAAAAATTCACCTCAACCCAGGTTCGAACACCCGACCTTCGGATTATTATGGATAAGAGAGGAAGTTGCAGCTTGCAGATCAGAGGAATTGTTAAAAATGAACGTAGACTAAATAGAAGATGGAGAATCGATGCTGGTAGTTAGAATTCC